GTGCTGAGTGTTTCGGTTGTCTTTTCCAATGGACCAAGAACTGATGTGCCCAATGAGCCGAAATGAGGCCAAGCAATGCATTTAGAAATCGACAATTCGCAATCCTATCGGATGTGATGACTTGCACGATTGGACGGTGTGCAGGTACTGGGAAATCCAGTTGACTCGACTGGCGAGGCGAATCAGACCATCAGATCTGGTTCAAAACAGGGCCGAATTCCCAATTACTTCGCTACCGTATACTCTCGATCATCGCAGCACGAGTGGTTGTTGGTAACAAACAAACAATTTTCCAGAAAAGCAACACACAAAAGTTGGCTTTATGTTTTACATAAGCTGAAAAAATGTTGTCAATTTGTCGTGGTCATCTTAGGTTGCACATGCCGATGAAAGAACGACAATAAAATTTTCCCAAATGATCAAAAGTTTTTTTCAATATTTGGCGAATTATTCTAAATCTGCATATAAAAAAATAAGGTTTGTGTTAATAAATGCAATTACAAAAGACAAGTTTACTAATATAAAGGTGATATGGATGGGATCCACTTGTATGATTATGGTAAAAGTTACTTCTTAATCCTTTATCAATTGATACTGTTTAGGATTACTTGAATTCTCATTTATGATTTGCTGGCACTTTGTAAATCTAATTTCTATAAATGTGAAGAAGCTAGTTGATTTTGATAGAAAAAGAAAGTTAACTTATCTACCATCACACAAATTCAGTTTGCAGTCTTTAATTATCTTCTCCAAAATATAAACGTATGAAATATCTTCATCATATTTCGTTGAAGCGATAAAGGACTGATGTTGGCATGACGCTCCATTTCGAAGGGAAAGTTACGTTGGAAGTAATTCGAGATGTAATCTCACCGAAAAGCGAAGATGGATTGCCACGTTAGGAAGACTGTTGAATTGTGCGAAGAAGTCCTCGGTTCACTGTCCTGCTCATCTTTCGTCTGTCCTCTCCGTGACAGACATCATCAGAGCAAGATTACATACTTCACGGAATAGAGCAAAAATATGCTAAACCCAACGAAGAAGGTGGCCGGCTGCAACACGTGTCGCTTTGTATGCACCCAAAATCACGATTTGGTCGGTTACTTCAACCTTTCTCTACATGCTTGCAAATGAATACAGTTTGTTCAGGGATGGGCAAGATTGCACATTTTCTCATATCCCAACCTTTCCACAACGCCGTCGTTTTGAGAAGAAAGGCGAACAATTAAGATCTTCTGAGATTGTCATTTTGTATGAAAGTGCACAAAAGAGAGATTAGTAAACGATCACATATCAATTGTAGTTAGCAGGATTAGTGAATTTTGCTATCAGGTGCCGGATAGACAACTGGACAATACTTCCCAGTTCCTGATTTTGTCTTCCTGTCAACTTGCGAAAAAGTTGGCTGAACTACTGAGGAAATGGAGCATAAAAACAATGTATAAAGAGACATTAACACTTCCTTCACACCCATTTTCTAGATCAGCCTGTTACAAGATTTTGTGCTCATGTGGTAAAGTCTGTGTGCCGACCCGTCCACAAGAGACTATGCGAACACAAAACCGCTTGTAAAGGTCTGTGGGTGCAAAAATCTGGGCTCGCTGAACACATTTTGCGAATACACGACACTCAATAAACTGGTCCTAAACACAAAGTTTTGCAGGTTACGGGAATTTCACGTTAAAGCTTAGGATTAGGGATTCGATAGAAATTCACAAAACAGTCAACGTCCTGAATGGGATGAGTGAAAGGAGAAAACTAAGTAGGAACTTTTTGTGGCTGTTGGATGGACTTAAGGAGAGAGAAAGAGTGTGGTTGCAGAAAGAGCCAGTGACATGAGCATTACACACACACACACACACACACACACACACACAATATACAATAGCACAAACACAAACATGATTCAGCATTCGGCGATCGTAAGCTAGTTTTTGTGTGATGAAACAGCCATCAGCGAACTAACTTCCGGTTCTGGAAGGTAACTTCACTCATTTTCAAGCATTTAGAGAAAGGTTGAAGTACCAACCAAATCAGACGAGTCCTCGTTAGGGTCGCGAAGTTGGGTTGCAGCCGGCCAACTTCTCATTTTGGTTTAGTATATTTTTTCTCTATTTCGTAAAGTATGGAATCGTGCTCTGATGATGTCTGTCACGGAGAAGACAGACGAAAGTTCAGCACAGTTTCGTCTTGGTCGCAGGACTTCTTGGCACAATTCAACAGTCTTTCTTACGTGACAATCATCATTCGGTTGTCGGTGAAGCGGCAGCACGAATTCCCTTCGAAATGGAGAGTTATGCCACAATATTTCATTTGGGTATTCTCCGAAACCGAGTTTTTCTTCATATATATGAAAGTCTGATATATGATTTTTCTCCTAATCGTACCAATATGTCTTAAGTTTACATTGAATTTCATCTAACCTTAATTCCAAAAAGGTATTCTCAATCCGGCTAGAGCAGGCTGCCATTTCGACCCCGCATTTATTTCATCAGCCCCCTAAATGGGGCTCGGAGCCGGGGGGTTTCGTCATGTCACTACTACGCCGGACTGACATGGGTGTCCTTGGGTCAAAGAGTAGATGGAAATTTCCCACATTTTGTGGTGGGATTATCGACGAATCAACGCTATAAATACTATTGCAATCGCCTGCACTACTTATTTATTTATAAGTAGGTCGAAACTGAGTTCCCTCCTGCTTGAAAAAGAATACATTTTGAGAATGGAGGGGTTTGTTAAATTAAGATTTTAGAATAATTCAACGAAATAGGGCTAATACATCTCAATTGTATGGTCTACTAGTGGTCCAGAAAATTCACTCTTAAATGAGTCCTTCTCGTATAAATGTGTGAAAATGTGCATATCAATCCTTCCCCATTGGATGCTAGTAAGATTAACTGGACCTTTAATGAGAGATTTAATCATAATTTCTTATCATAAATCCTTTGAGATAATGTTTTCCGTTGATAGATTTTAAGAAAATAGGGCTTATTTTTATTTATAGGTCATCTCATAACACAAAATTGCCTAGAAACGTGGCTCGATAAGAGGCTTTCATATTAACATTTTGTCTAACTATGTTTGTATTTTACTTTGAAAACAGGGCTTTCTATCGTCTACTCTGAAGACGTTGGGCAAAGGAGGACGACCGTCGGCCGTGAGTAGTATTTGCTATTTTCAGTATTACTTTTATGATTAACTTGTCCCAAAAATAAGACTCGTTTGAGTCAGACAAATGAATGATAGACATTTGCGGAATAATTAAAATCGCCGCTTTTCACCCATCTCCACCTGTCTGACAGCCTTGGCCAGGATTGGCTAGTAACAAATCTTGTGCTCACTCACAGAAAACCACAAGTGCTCCAGCGTCTTGAAGCATCTGTCGTCAATCTCCAACTTCATGTCTGTCTTCGTGAAGGCCTGAGGGTGTGAATCTACAGTTGAGCATGAAAAAGTGGTTTTAAACGCCTCCTTCTTTCAGCAAGTCTCCACACGAAGCCGTGAATGTGAGACCTACTTTCAAGGCTTCACACATGAGACTTCGCTTCATCGGCCTTAGCAACAGGATTCGAACCGTGAACCACAGAGATGGAGTAGGAGGTGAAGAGACAATCGGAGCCGCCTCACATGAAGCCAAAGGTGTGTAGGTGTCGCAAGAATTATGATATTGTCTCTTGACCCACACAGTTATGGCTCGAAACCTGTCCGTGATTGCGAGGAAGACGATGAGGCGGAGCGAGGTCGAGACCATCGTCGAGTCTAAAAGCGAAGTCGACTTGCGATAGGTTCAAAAAATCAAAACCCTATCAGAAATGGTACATCTCGATTGCTTTTATGCTCATGATAGGGTCGCGACAAGTCACCGTAGACTTCGCAAATAATATCTACCTTTAGTCATTATTTCATGCAACGCTAACAGTCTATTTTTGTATGCATGCCC